TTTAATATATGGGTGTGTGTCTATAAATAAGGAATAACTTGTACTAACACATGTAGTTTTATTACAGGGCATGTATCCTGTTTATGGACCAAAAAGTCACCAAATAATCACAGAAATTACTCCAGGACAGGAATGAGAAATAATTTTAATGATGATACCATCTCTGATGTATTGCAATGGATGACTGTGTATGAAGCAATGTGTGTGAAGGAGTATGAGGCTATATTTAGGATGAGCAGGAAGGACCATTGCCATTAATTCATGATATTCTCCATGGAAGTGGAATGGGGACATCAGGTTATAAAAAATATTTAATTTGGCTATAATAAAATTGCAAACATCAGTGGTTTAAAGCAATAGACAATTTTATGGTTTTTTAAATTTCATTTTTGTTTTTGTTTTGTCCAAGACTGGTCTGATTAATCCGTGAGATCTTTACGTCTTTCCTTTACCCAGCTGTAAATAGCCTGTGCTTATTCTCTTGTAGTCACATCATGGCTGTTCAAACTCCAGAGCTGCATTTGAGTTCCAGATATAAAGATGTAAGGTGAAGAGGAAAAGGTGAGGCCAGCTAAATTGACCTTCCATGTAAAGAATTTCCAAAAGTGTCATGCAATAACTTTCCCTTACATTGCATCAGCAGGCACCTGTGGTCACAACCTTCATCTGCAAAGAACGCTGGGAGATGTAGCTTTTGGCTTCCTCATTGCTGGGAAAAAAAAAATACCCAACACACTCACGATTAAAGGAGGAGAGGTTTATTTTAGATTACAGTTGTAGAGGTTTCAGTCCAGAGTCCGTTGGTTCCAGTTGGTAGGACACATGGCAGAGGGGCATGGCAGAGGAGGAACAGTTCATGGTATGGCAGACAGGAGGCAACAGCAATCAAAGCAGGAGGAAGTATATCTATATATACCCTTCTAGGCCATTCCCACAGTGACCCACCTCCTTAGACAAGGCTTCACCTCCCAACATCATGCCTAGCCATAAACTCATTAGAGGACTAATCCAGTGTCACACACCCATGATCCAGTCTCTTCCCCAAAGCCCCACTTATGGGTGCATGAGGCTTTGGGGAGATGTGTAAAATGTAAGCCATAAAAGGAGAGTAATGTTGATAGAGACTGTGTTTCTAATTATAAGATTGTAGGATGACTGTGGATGACATATTTGCTCTAGTAGAATCTTACTAGACATTCTTTGTACCATAAGAAGCATGAAGGGAAGAACCATGATTTTTTGTGGTTTAGTATTTGGTATGAAGCCCTTTAATATTTATGAAGACTGCAAAGAACTTTTGTGTATGAAGGCATATGTATCGATATTGACTATTAGATATAAAAAGAAATTTTAAAATCAGGTATTTAAAATCAGAATGACCCTATATTAGCACAAACAATACATTTATTTATTTTTTATTTTTTGAGACAGGATCTTACTATGTAGTTTAGGCTAGCTGGCCTCAGATTCGTGCTGATCCTCCTGCCTCAGCCTCTTAAGTGCTGGGATTAGAGATGTGCACCACCATGCCCAGCTAAATAACTCATTGAAAGGAAAGAAACTACATTTAAAAAATGAAAAAATTTAGGTTTATCATTTTAACTTTTTGCACTCTATTGCCTGATTTAATGTAAAGGAAACTGGATTCTTATATCTTTTTATCCAATTTGTTGCAATATGCTGTTTTAATGAAAACATGTATGTTGTACAAAATGGGGAGGGGGTTGTAACTGTCTTATTCTTTGATACTTTAGCAAAACTGCATGGTAGTTGCTTATAAGTCAGTTGAAACGTGGAATCTGAAAGAATATAAATGAACTTTTTGTATTGTTATATTAAAGTCTGTCTTGTACTTTCAATGAATCTTTTACTCATGATCTGTGCCATCAACTACTGTTTGCTTGGAAAATATTGATTCACTGATTTATGTAGATATTACAAATGTTTACACATTTTAGAAACCTAACACCTTAGAATATTCTAGAAAACAACTGAGGTTACAAGCACATATTTCATTAGCCAAAGAATGATGATGTTCTATCATGTTGCCTCTGGAAAACTCCTTTGTACATGTGTGATACAAAGGAAGTGAAAGATAAATTATTTTACATTATTAAAATAGTTTTGACTATGCAAATTTACTGAAAGGGTCTTACCACTGTAAGAACAACTGATATGGTATGATATGACCTGTCAGATAAAGAAAGTCAAAAAACCTACTGCCTCTTTTTTAAACCAGGACCACACAACCAGCAATATACAAAAATATAGTCCTGTAAGACCGAGGGCCTTACCAAATGCTCCGAGGAGCTGACTGCAGCAAAGAACACCCGGGAAGGAACACACCGGACAAGTTGGAAAGTAAAACAGACCTTTATTAGTCTGGCCAGACGGCACTCCCAAAGCAAAATAGCTTAGAGAGGCAACTGGCTCAGAGACAGAGGCTGTTCTTATAGGGGGTTGAGGGGGAAGTTAACATATAGAATTAAAGAAAAGGGACAAAGGTTAGTGGTCGACTGTCACGTATTGATGGTCAGCAGACATTTGCAGCTTGTTCTATAGATTGTGGTGTCCAGAACATCAGTTCCAGGCAAACAAGGAGTTGAGTAGTTTACTTTGGGACTTTAGGTCTGTTACAGATTTTATCTAGTGTCCCAAAACTAACAAGCATCTTTATCCATTAACTCACATTTAATCACAATGGGGCTAGAGAAAAGGAACAAAGGTTATGCAGTCCCACAGTCCCAAAGGATAATTTCAAGTATCTATGTAGGAAAGCAGATGGGCTTATAGAAATATATAGCCTCTCATTTAAAGCTCAGTTGTTTAATGGAATTTGAATCCTATTATGAGTATTTCAAAGCATGTGGACAAGTCTTTGGGGAGCTCAAAATGCTTCATTCACCTCCTTACCAAGATAAGACTCTTTCAGGAAGATGTGGGTGGCAGAACCTCACTAAAAATATTTTTCTGCTTGCTGCTGGGGTTGGAAAGTATCCGTTTACTGTGGACCAAGTTTTCTTTGTAGCGTTCGATACATGACATTACCAAGTGGACCTCGTAAGGGGTTTGGGAATGTGCTAGATAAACCTATTCTTTGCTCTGTTATCTCAGCTTTTTAACAGTTGACTCTGGGGCAGGTTGATCTTATTTTTTGTAAAGAACCACTTACTATTCTTTGATAGAAAGTTGGCTACAGGACCTTCATTCAGCAGTACTAAGAGAAATTTGCTTTAGGCAATCTATTTCCTACTTTTCTGTTCAGCTGGCCCCCCTATGTGGCCCACTCAAGCCTTTTCCTTTAGCAAACAAACATCCCTTTGTATTCGCTCCATGATGTGTGATCTTAAATCAGTCCATTCTGTGATACAGTGATGTCAGGCTGATTAAGTTTACACTAATACTGTATATGAATGATGGGTAACTGCAAAGTACTTAAAAACTAAGAACCAACTGATGAGCTGAACAAAAAAACTTGCAAAGGGATCACTACGTGTAGTCACTGAACAAATTGTTTAGCTTTCCTTTCCAACCATACTACAAGCCAATAAGCCATTTAGATTGTAATCTAATCATCCTGAGTGCCCAAACTATGACTGAAGGTCAATCCTGCTAAGACAAGAAATTCGCAGCAAGGTCTTTATACGTTTATGTTTGGTCGCCCCATAGGTTTAGATATTAGGGTGAAAGTGGATGAAGTGCTCAGGAAGCAGCCCTCATTCCTATATGTTTTCACTTGAAGGCCCCTGGCAAATAAATTCTGGGATTTTCAGTAGTCTCTTTTAATATTCCATATACTCCCCAGACTGATTTAAAGTTTGTTGTTTTATTTTTATAAAGCAAACTTCAGTGTCACTGATGCCCGAGGCTGTGATTGATTACCAAGTATATTTTTAGGCTGGGGCTGGAACTTAGGTGTCCGTGAGACTGGCTAAGCTAACGTCATCCCGCCCTCCTTCGCGCGGCGTCTTCTCTTCCAGAGCAGCTGTCCCGATCCCGGCTTGGCGGAGCTTGGACTGGGAAGCTGCCCGGCCCAGAAAGTCACCAACGTACTCTTCCTCGCAAGGTCTCCAGGGATTGTCATCCGGGCCATGACCTCTCCCCCAAGAGGCAGGCAGGATGGTGTCCGCAGAGAACCAAGAGTAGGCCACGCGTGTTGACCGCTGGCAACAGACACCGCAGGCGGGCCACCGCTGGGACAGTCTTGGCGACAGCAGGGGGCGACGCAAGACTCCTCTCCTTTCTTTAACCCTTCTTCACACGCAGTTCTACCCCTCACCGGAAGCGGAGCGATTTGTACTTACGCCACTTCCGGTGCGGATTGTCGGTGCCTGGCGGGAGCGAGCACGCCAGCGCGCGCAGCACCTTTACTCCCGCCTCCCTCGCCCTGCGCCGCCACTCATCGTCGTCTCTCTCGGAGCGTGACGTACGTGCGCGCTCCCGACCTCGCGTCAAGGCTTCCAGTGTTGGGGGGGGTTAGCGAAAGAGTGCGGGTAGAAGGAGGGGTTGTGGAGGTTGGGGCCCAACCAGAGATTCCCATCGACCTCCCCCCCTCCTGACGAACAGCGGAGAGGGAAGGGGAGGAGCGAGCCCCGGCCGGCCGCGCACGCCAGGAAGCCTCCTCGTGCAGGGAGGGAGAGAGAGAAGGAGCGACGGAGGAAGAAGAAAGTCAGAGCCGTCCCCAGCGCCCCAGACTCCGGGGCGCCCCGCCTCCACCGCCCCGGAAGCGGTGCCCCGCCCCGCCGCGCCGGCCGCAGAGAGCGCGAGGCCCGGCCGCCCCGCTGCCGCCGCCACCGCGGGAGGAGGACAACGTCGACGCGGAGGCGTGTTGTCGTCTCGCTCGCCCCCGACGTCAGGGCGCTATGGAGTAAAGCGGCGGCGGCCAAGGGGCACTTCCGCGTCGCGCCGGCCCGAGCCGCTCCCCGCCCGGGCGGCCCCTGAGGACTCCGGACTCGCCCCGCCGCGCCCCGCCGCGCCGCGTCCCCCCGCCGCCCGCCGCCCCGGGGATGGCCCGCGCGTGAGCCGCGCCCGGGGCGATGCCGAGCAGCGCTGACCCCGCGCTGGGGGGCGGCGCGGGCCTGAGCTGGGCCGAGAAGAAGTTGGAGGAGCGCCGCAAGCGCCGGCGGTTCCTGTCCCCGCAGCAGCCGCCGCTGCTCCTGCCGCTCCTGCAGCCGCAGCTCCTGCAGCCGCCGCCGCCGCCGCCGCCTCTGCTCTTCCTGGCCGCGCCCGGCACGGCTGCCGCCGCCGCCGCCGCCGCCGCCGCCGCCTCCGCGTCCTGCTTCA